GGGGGGCTGCAGTCCCCCCAGCTACGGAAATTATGTAATTTTTCGGGCAAAACGCCGATGATTCGGGCAACGACACTTTAGAGAAGAATAATGCTATTGGCGCAATTTTCAAAACTTGTAATTATATCAAGTTTTTAGTCAGGTAATTTTTATGAATCCCTGTCTGATTAGACGCCCGACCAGAGAGTTAGCACTTTATTAAAGTAGTATCGTGTAAAGTGTAAAATTTATATTTGCTGCTGATCTGAAGTATCGTTTGCGTATCGAAGACCTTACGGTAGTCAGTGGACCGCGGCCTTTCTGGCTTCCGACAAAGAACGAGCCCCGGGGAATGAGCCCTCTTTTTTGTTTTTTAGGTTTCAAGGCTTGTAAGCTGCTTTGTACGACATTTTCCTTGCCAAAAAGGAGTTAGATTGAAATGATATGAGGGACCTTGAGTTTTCTGTTAGCTATAAAAAAATCAAAGTGAACGAAGACCAAGACTTTTGCTTTTGCGGTGGCTCTGAAAGAGCCTGGCGTTTGTTATGTCTTAACAAAGGGGTGTTTTATTTTTATTGAATTTTTCTTATGAGGTGTTCCTCTTTTACGTCCATGTTGTTAACCATCGTATTTACGCTGCTTCTGAATTCAAAGAAGGCTAGGCTTGCAGTGTACGCTGCAAGTCTCCTGTGGCCAAAACAAGACTAAGACGTCTAACGTCTCGAGTATATCGAGAAGCTCGTCTCAAATAATGTCCAGGTTCTGTAACACGTCCAAACGGTCCATCTTGAAACACAAATGTCTCTGTTGCTGATCTGCCGATCGCTGAACGAACGCCATGAAAGGAAGAACTTTTAGATTATAACAGATTGAGACTGTTGATAGAAGTCATCGAGTAGGCAAGCTTTCAATACAACTATTTTTGGATTATAGTTTCAGTTTCAGTTTCATAAGATGTGACAACTGTAAGTTTTTGTTTTTCATGCAATCTAAGTGGGTTTGCATCCGATTTCAACACTCTCACATTCGGACATCGCGTAATTTTTTCGGGCAAGAAGGTCACCGCCCCCGCAAGTCCAAAGGTGCCCGTACGCCTATGCGTGAGTGATGAATAAATGACTCTGAATCTATGAAAATCATATATTTGAACTGCGGATTAAAGAATAAAGATGAGAGAGATCGCAGTTAAATGCGAAAAGAAGACGCATTATTTTAGATTAGCTTTTTCTGATTAGATTACGTTATTGTAATCTTTTTATTGTTTGTTTTTTATTTTTAGAATTGTAGAATATCTTTGTGCGAAGCGACTGCGATTCTCTCGTTATGCTAGTATGCTCTATACAAATTGATAATAAATTAATTTATAATTTATTAAAATAAATCCTAAAAAAAACTGATTGCAGAAATCGCAGGTTATTCCGCACGCGCGCCAAAACAAAGAGCCAGATAGCGGCGCTTAGGCAGGCTATAGCTTATAGCCATGGAGCTCCCTCCCTCCCCTCCCCTTTTACCCTGATATTTCCCACGGGTCTTTGCAGGTGTCGTGTCCTCGCTGCCATTTTGCATGTGGGCAAGGAACGTGCTACAGCGACGTTCAAAGGTTTGTTATTTGTGCATGTTTTAAAGCGGCTTGATCCAGTGAAATACTTGATGTGAGACATTAGGTAACTTTTTTTTCCCTTTTAATACATGTCAGAGCATAGTTAGTAAAGTAGTTTGTCTCCTCTACTAACTATGGTCAGAGACAGGAGGAGGAATGAGGAGACGTTTGGCTTGTTGATTAATGCGGTGCTCTGCGGGATGCAGGTAAGCTGTCTAAACTTTAATAGTATAAACTCACAAACTTTAAAATTTACAAGGTGACTGCGTTTCAGTTTGATTTAATGTAAGCTTAAACTACTTGAACGGGTATAATATATACGCGTTGGTAGAAAAACAAAGCGACAAATTCTATGCCTGCCAACTTTCACACCTTTTGGCGTGAGTCTCAAGCTTGAAGTTCGAACTCTTACGCGATCATGGGATGTCTGTAAAACGAAGACCTGTAAAAACGATCCCAAGACCCCAAAAACGCTAAAACGAAGACCCCCGCTAATTTTCTAAGGCATTTTTGCTCCTTTTTCCGGCCAATTTTGAGGTGTCAACATGGTGTTAAGGTGGCTCGTACCAGTTTTCAGGTTTTTGACGGCTCATAACTTTGTAAGAATAGAACGAAAAGGCAGACCAGGGCCACTGAAATATTTTTGTAGGTTTGGATTACATAATTTATACTTGACCTAAAAAAAGCTGTCATTTTGCTGTCAGCAGTTACCATGGCAACATTCCAAAAGGATTTTCCAGACCTGATTTTTCGCTTATGTCACTAATAACTAAAAAATTAACCCAGTGCCCCCCGAGTGTTTTTTAATCAATAGCTTTTGGCATCTGAAAATGAAAATGCAGAACAATTTTAAAATAATTTTACGGAGCCAATTTCTTGTAAACTTGTAAAAACAACAATTTGCACAATTTTCCTTCCATATAATTTTTTATATTTTTTCTGACGTTTCCTCCAATAATAATATTATATTGAAACAATAAAAAGAAGGGGTCACTGGACTTGTTTTCATGTAAAAGCCTTCACGAGTTTCGTTATTTCCACATGTGTAGACACGCTTTCAAAAATCCAGACTTTATAAGATCAGCAGATGTTCATGAGCTGTTTTGACTACCGCTGACATCTTTGTGTGCCTGTGCGGGCGAGTGGGCTCCGAACAGGCGTTTTGTTTTGTTTGCTGCTAAAACATTTTTTGGTATTAGGTGTAATTCTATTAAGTTGTAAGTAAAGGCAGACCATGTTAAAAATATGGACCAGTTCGAAAAACTGAAAGCAGCGAACAACGAGTGAAAATACATCAATAAGTAAAGATGTGAAAGTTCGCCACACGGATGAAGCTATAGTGATTGTATAAGGCAGGCAAAAATATCGAGGGAAAAGAGGTTATGTAAAAATTTAGGGACTTGACAGCAATAACAGGGATGTTGGCAAAGACTCCGATGAATCCGCTATCGGTGAATCGTTGGACTCATTGAGACCCACTGAAATATTATCCATGCACAGTTAACCACGCACAGTTGCTCTGCCGCACTTTCTTTTATTTGTCTTCTTCGCCCACCCACTCTAGCGTTTGTATCCTTTTTT